CCGGCCAGGCAGACAGCAGAACCCTCTGGATTGGGTGGATGGGTGGAGACACGAGGAGTCGAGGTCCTGCCTTGATCCCTTCCAGCCTACTCAAAGGTGCCCTCCCTACAACACCCCCCCAAACACTGCCATCGAGTTGATGCCAACTCACAGCAACCCTGTAAGACGGGTAGAACTGCCCCTGTGGGTTTCCAAGACTGGAACTCTTTCTGGGAGTAGAAAGCCCTGCCTCTCTTCCCTCGGCAAGGCCGGTGCTTTCAAACAACCGACCTTGCAGTTAGGAGCCCAGCACGTGACCACCCCACCACCAGGGAGTGTGATTTGGAAAGGAGCAGCCTGAGGCGGGGTCAGCCCATGGGAAGGCTGCATCAGTCAGGAGGAGAAAGGGACCGTTTGTGATGCCCAGCTACACACACACACACACACACACACACACACACACACACACACCATGGCCAGCTACACACACACACCGTGGCCCCTGGTACGGGCGCTGAGCCAGGGGGCCCTTCCAAGAGGCTCCGCTTATCATCTGGCCCTGAGGCAGCCCCCAGCGCTGGTTCTCTGTCCCGAGCCCGGCCTCAGAGTGCCTCTGAGCACGTCACAGTGTGCAGACGGGTTCTTGTACCCCGAGCTGTCGCCCTGTGTGCGGTCCTGTCCTTTCAGCAGGGCAGGCCTGGCGTCTGTGATTTCTCCTTCAGTGCTCTCGTCCATCAGGAGATAGCAGCCCCAGGATGCTGAGTGAGCTGACCCAGGCCGGGCCCGGCCTGTGCCGCCCCACTGCCTCTTCACACTGGTCTGGCCCTGGGGCACGTGTCTTGACCCACCAACTACAAATTCGCCCCGAGTCCAGGCATCAGTCTGAGCCCAAGACTCAGACTGGCCCTCACACATGGGGCCTTGTGTGGGCACCTGACCCGCTCCTCTCCCCGGCCCCCTGCAGCTGCGCCAACAGCACGGAGCGGGAACAGGGCTGCACGCCCCTGCACCTGGCCTGCCGCAAGGGCGACGGGGAGCTCCTGGTGGAGCTAGTGCAGTACTGCCACGCCCAGGTGGACGTGACCGACAACAACGGGGAGACCGCCTTCCACTACGCCGTCCAGGGGGATAACCCCCAAGTGCTGCAGGTGAGCAGGGGTGGAGGGGCAAGGGCTGCTCTGCCAGCACCACTGCACTAGGCCAGGGACCCTGAGCTCCAGTGGCACCCCC